TGTGAGAAATATATCACTTTTCTTATCACTTTTCTCCCCACCCTGCCCACCCTTTGTGAACCCTCCCCAGCCTCTCCGTAGCATCTATCCACTTGCCGGGAGAGAGAGAGAAGTTCATGTTTTTCATCCATGACTGAAGCTCTGCATTTACCCCTGGTTGCAGGATACTTTCCAAATTGGGCCACAGCTGCCCCAGACCAGCTCATTCCTCCTAGGAAATCCACCTCTAGCTTTTCATGGTTAATGGGCTGCTATGACCTGCATCGTGCACTTGCTTTTTTTTTTTTTTTAATTTTTTTGATGTTTATTTATTTCTGAGACAGATACAGAGCATGAGTGGGGGAGGGGCAGAGAGAGAGGGAGACACAGAATCCGAAGCAGGCTCCAGGTTCCGAGCTGTCAGCACAGAGCCCGATGTGGGGCTCGAACTCACAAACCGTGAGATCATGACCTGAGCCGAAGCCAGACGCTCAACCGACAGAGCCATCCAGGTGCCCCTGCACTTGCTTTTAAGAAAGAATAAGACGAAAGGGAGACGCAGATTGGATGAGGTTTGGGACTCTATTCTCCATTCTTTCATCCTGGAAACATTCAGGAGTGGTTAATACAGGGGCCCTGCATTGCTCTGACACAACCCCAATGAAAGTCTTGTTTATAGGACCGGCGATGGCAAGAATTCTTATAGCCCTGTTTTGGGATCCATGCTTATTATGTGTTTTGTGGAGGGAGTGTGGGGAGAGAAATGGGTAGTATGTCGGCAGAGAAGAACCACAATAAAGCTCTATTCCTGCCCATCCCTGTTATATCCCCCATGGCCTATCTCGGACAGCTATTGCCACATGCTGCGTAAAAAGTCACCTTAAAACCCAATGGCTTAAAACAAGAATTTACTTCTTACGTAAGTGTCTGCGCGTTGGCTAGAGGTTAGCTGATAAAGGCTGAGTTCAGCTGGGTTTGGTTCCAGGATGCAGGTCGGATCCAGCTCCGTTCCCCTTGTCTCTCATCCTCCAGTACGTGCAGAATATATGTGGTATGTTTCCTTCAAGGCAGTGAGAAGTACAAGGGGGAAGGCTCACGTCAAGCCTCTGCTCATGTCACTTCTGTTCATCTCGTTGGTCCAAGTCAGCCATACAGTGAAGCCCAAAGTCAAGGGACAAAGAAGTAGTTCACCCACAACAAAGCCATAGCAATGTTGTATATGTAGGTGTATAATAACAGAGTGGGGAAAAATTGGGGCCAATGATTCAGTCTATCAAATGTCCTCATTTGGGTACTCCAGCCCTTGAGACAGGCCATCTAATGGCACCACTGCAGTGACCTGGCATTATGTGTGCATATTTCTGAATTGGCTACTAGCCTGAGAGGCCAAGGCTGGGCTTTTTTTTTTTTTTTTTTTAACTTTGGATCCCCAGGACCTAGCAAAGTACTTAGCACACAGGACCAAAGCAGTCCAACATGAGCACATAGATGCTCAATAAATGGGCTCTTTGGAATAGACTAGAATTGAATTGAAATGACTTAAGAAAAGCCTTACAAAATGTGCCTTTTATCCACCCATTAGACATTTTCCCCGTAATATAGTATGCAGAATGTACCTATGAGTTTCATTTGAATCTTCTTACATTCACAGTAAGATGCAATTTTAAATCATCTATCAACTAATCTTTCTTTTAAACATGAGATATTTGAATGGCAACATAAAAGAGTAACTGTGAATGTTGACTTTGCCAGTCTAATCTCATTGTTCAATTTGGACCCCAATTCTCTTTTTGTTCCCTTTTGGTAAGAACTATTATTCCTCACTGTCTACTAGTCAAAATTCTGTAGCTCATCCTTTTTGTTGTTGTTAAATTCTTTTATTTTGTCAAATTTTTTTCTAAACCATTATCTATCCCAGAATGCTTTGGTACCCAGTACCAATGATTACATATAATTCACCCACTCCCATCAACTTTGGTTTGCATCACCTACATGCCATTAAAAGTGTGATGGCTACATTTAACGAGAGCAGACTCTGTGCCAGGCATTGAGGGCCGTCCACACGTGTTATCTCATTGTGTGTCAACAAGGCAGAGGATGGGGTCCACCAGGTACCTCCCCAGTCAGGCTGTCTGATTCCAAGCCCACACACTTAACCACTAGCCTATATTGCCTCTGGATCTTTGATCTCCAGAATATTGGCAACAGCATGGACCACGGGCAAGAGACTTCAGAGACCTCTTCGGAGACCTCTCTTTCTGACTCCCATTGTAACTGTAGGAAAAGCATTAGACTTTTGTGAGTGTAGGTATCTTCTTTTGTAAGTGGAAGCTCATAATCACCTCATCTGTGGGGCACCCGGACGGCTCAGTCGGTTATCCATCTGACTCTTGATCTCAGCTCAGGTCTTCATCTCAGGGTCGGGAGCTCAAGCCCCACTTTGGGCTCTGCGCTGGGGCTGGGCGGGAAGCCTACTTAACAAACAAACAAACAAACAAACAAACAAAAAAAAAACCCCACCAATTACCTCATTTGCTGTGCAATGGAGTTATATGTGGAAATGCTTCAGAAATGTAGCATCCTGCTCAAATTCTAAGGGATAAAGATCCCTTATTCTTGTATTCTTTTCAAGTATTCCTTAAACTCCTGCCCTGACCATCCTTCCATCAGAAGTAATTTTGCTTCTTTGTTTCCTCGCCACATTTGCTGACATGGTGCATTTGGTCTTCTGTCTTGAGAAATTTCATTTCCCTTGAGCTTTCCTATTTGTTTGTTGAACAAATGACACACCACTAGCTATGTCATATTCCCAGGCTTTCTTGATATTTCTTGATTAATTTCCCTCTTGTCCTCATGGCTTCACTGTCTGCCCAGGCTGTCCCCACAGAAGAGCAGCAGATTGTGTCTGAGTGTGTCCACACTTGCCAAAACCCAAATGGGAATTTGAGGGTTTCAGTTAAAAAAAAAAAAAACTCGATATTTTATCTAATTGGCCCCAACTATTTGACAATTTTAAAAAGATAACAGTCTCATTAAAAAAATTCTTTGACCTAATTATTCAGTCTTATAGTTTCTGTTTGGGGATTTCATCCCTCAATTTCTGGGGATATAATGGTGAGACCAAACAACACAGTCCCCACCCCCTATAGTGAACAGTCTCACAGCAGGTGTGTGTGTGTGTGTGTGTGTGTATGATTGAACTGGTGCTAAGTAGTTCCACTTAACTTGTGTTGGCCTAATAGGAAAACCACAAAGGCAGACCTTATATGTTAATGAAGCATTTGTGCCAAATGCACATTGCTCGAGCAAAGGTTTCCTAGTAATTGGAAAATAATTTGCAAAGCACTGGGAAAATGCAGCCATTGTTTGACCTGCGGTTGTGTAGGCATAATGTCCCCTCTCATACTTAATGCCAGTTGCAGCTGAATTTCAGGCAAACAATATTATCCATTATTTTAAATCAATGTTGTTAATTGGAATTGCTCTGCTGTTATAGTTCTAGTTCCACTAATTTGTAAATGTTTAAGGGTTTCCAAGATGCAGACAAGCTAAAATAGAAAGAATCTGGGGTCTTGTGTTTGCATGTAATGAGCACTATTTTCATGAAATACTTTTATTCAAGAGCGAACATCCGAGAGAAAAATTGTTCTTCAAGAAGGTCTGTGTGTTACTCAAACTTGAAAACCACGAAAGTTTCATATTCTTCTCTGAACCATCACCAATGATGGATGTCGGTAAAGATACATCCTTCCTCCACCTCTGCCATCTCTACCTTTTACTGTATAGAATTCTGTTGTACATAATATAGTGGCCTATTACTATAAATAATATACACATATATTACTGTATATATAATATATGTGCATCCCCACATGTTACGGTACAGAATTACAAACCCCCAAATATGCGTATGGTACTTTGGGGGAATGCCTTTAAGAGACTTTAATGGGAAATTGACTCTGGCTTACAAACTGGATTTAGAATCTCCATATTGTGTAGCTCAAATCCATTTGCATTTGTTTTAATATAAATTCTTGCTAGTGGGAATGCAAAATGGTAGAACCATTTTGGAAAAACTTGGAAGTTTCTCATAAAATTAAGCATAGCCTGGGGCACCTGAGTGGCTCAGTGGTTAAGTGTCTGACTCTGGATCTCAGCTCAGGTCTTGATCTCGAAGTAGTGGGATCGAGCCCCATGTTGGGCTCCATGTTGAGCGTGGAACCTGCTTGGGATTCTCTCTCTCCCTCTCTCTCTGCCCTCCCCACCCCTCTCAAAATAAATAAACAAACATTAAAAAAAAAATTAAACATAGCCTTACCTTAAGACCTGGCAACACACAGAGACTTGAACACAAAGGCTTGTAGTGGCTTTATTCATAACAGCCCAAACTCAAAACAACCTAAATGTTCATTAGCGGGAGAATATTCTTAAAAATTTTGCTATGTTTATACAGTGGAATACTATCAATAAAAAGGAATGAACTGATGCATAAAAAAACATGGATGAGGGGCACCTGGGTGGCTCAGTTGGTCAGGCCTCCGACTTCAGCTCAGATCATGATCTCACGGCTCGCGAGTTTGAGCCCTGTGCCAGGCCCTGTGCTGACAGCTCAGAGCCTGGAGCCTGCTTCATATTCTGTGTCTCCCTCTCTCTCTGTCCCTCCCCTGCTTGCACTCTGTCTCTCTCTCTCTCTCACACAAAAATAAATTTAAAAAAACATAAAAAACCCAACATGGATGAATCTCAAACCATTTTGCTGAGCAAAAGAACAAAGCACATTCTCTATGATTCCATTTATATGAACCTGTAAAAAAGACAAATCTAACTGGTGGTGACAGAAAGCAGATTAGTGGTTTCCTGGGGCTAGGAGTATTAACTGTAGAAGAGCACAAGGAAAATTTGGAAGATGATGAAAATATTCTATTTCTTGATTGTGGTGGCGTTTATATGGATGTATACATTTGCTGAAACTCAGGAACTGTGTGCCTAAAATTTTATTTTATGTTGCTTCTGTCTCACAGGTTGGTTGTACAACTGGAGAACAGCTTCCAAATTAAAAACAAAAAATATTCAAAGCAATGCCCTCGAGACTGATAGCTTTGAAAGGTATGCTATGCTTACCCCTGCGGTCCATGCGCTGCTGGCATCCCAGTGCCTTCCCTTCTTTTGGAAGCACAGACCTGGTGCTTACCTGTCTTTTCTCAAGGGATAAAACTGGTGGCCAACAACAGTCTAGGACCCTGCCATTTTGCCTCCAGCCTGGTTCCTGATTTCTGAGCACCATCTTGGTAAATGGTTCCCCTGCTTTCCCAACTAATATCAACACAGACCTTCAACTGGCTGCCCGTGGGTCAGAGGTTGAAATGTCCCCCACCTCCGAGCTGGCCCTCAAAGGGCACTTGTACATGTGGGTATGTGTAAGCCTAGATTTTTCATTAGACTCGTGATCTATCTTAATCCATTTCCTGCGATCGTCATTCCATACCTGCTTTGTTTTGTGGGAGTCCTTGGGCATTCACGTCCCTTGGTACGGGAAGGTAAGCTGCTCCAAGCGTCGTGGGCCATCTTTTTCCTTGCTTGCTGTCTTCTTCAGCAGGGAGGGCTGCTGACAGCTGAGCAGGCTGCCTCATTAGAATTCACTGGGTAAAAGCTGATTCTCTGTTTAACTGATGAGGGAATTCTTGCGCCAAGGGGGCGGGGGAGAGGTTCATTCTGTCAGCTGCTTTCTTCCGGCCTTGCTGTGGGGGGAGGGGATGGCTGGTAGACAGTCTAAAATGGCCTGTACAGGAGATACCAGGAAACACCAAACCCCTCTTTCCCCAAGAAGCAGTGAAAATCATTTCCAAAGATCAGCTCCTTTCAGCATGTCACACACACCACATCTTCCCTTTGAAAAATGGCAACTACACTTTATTCCCCTCAGAGAATACAAAGTCTATGCCAAGTTGGCGTTCCTTTATTCCGAACGGTTCCTTATGCGCGGGAATTCAGGTCCTTTGCTAAAGGGGATGGTGGAAGGAGAGAATGTCCCGTTAGGTCACACTGAAGCTTTAGCATTCTGCCTGTGATGACGCCATGGAAGACTTCTTTCCACCACTGATTTGTCTGACATGTTTCAGAGCAAGATCCGGGATTCTGCTTTAGCTTCAAGCATTCAACTTTGCAGCTTCAAGAGGTCTTCAAGGCCATCCTTCCAGGTCACGGGTGGCTGGCTGGCTGAGTCAGTAGAACATGGGACTCTTGAGCTCGAGGTTGTAAGTTCAACCCATGTTGGGTGTAGAGCTTACTTACAAAAAATAATAAATAAAAAATTTAAAAAACCCATCCAATTGGACCCCTTTGTTTTATGAAGGCAGAAGCCAAGAGGTGGCATGAACACCCTCCCCTCCCCCTGCTTGCAGAAGTAAAGATTCTCTGAGATCCCTTCTGATCCAAGATCCTAAAGGCCACATTCTTAATAGGGAAGGTTGGCCCTCTCCAAAGTCACACCACGATGGTTCCGGGTTAGACTCTAAAGCAGTTGCTGCTTTGTTCTTAGCTAGGTTTGAGGTGAGTCAGTTAACCATGACGGTATGGCAAAACTGAAGAGGGTGAGGACACATGCAAAATGGCTTAGCCATCCTGAAGGAGACTGAGCTCTTGTCTCTGAATCTCTGAAGGGCTTTGCCCTGTGTTTGCAGCTGTTTAGAACAGGACCTGTTTTCTATAAGATGACAGGAGGCATCAAATGGTGGTTTTCTTCAGAAGAGGGAACCGACTAGCCTATGACACTCCAAGTTGAATGAAGCGTTAAGAGACGGTTGTTGGAAAGGCTGGTCAAATGAAATGAGTACAGGAGATGTCCTCTCTCTTTTCAAAAAGACTTTCTTCTTTAACTTTCTCTTTCATTTTTCCCTTTTATTTTCAAACTGGAAAAAGAAACACGTGTTAGTTGTAAACAGTTCCGAGGATAAAGGAATGCATTTTCTCCCAGTTATGTGTTGCTATGGAATAAACCACTCTACAAGTCAGTGGCTTAGAGAAACAGCACGTACTTTGCTTTTGAATCCGCGATTTAGGCAAACCTGACTCTTAACCTCGAGATGCCTGGGACCTCAGCTGTGAATGGCTGGAAGGCCTAGGGGCTGGCTGGGCATTTCTCTCTCCTTCTTCATGGCGTCTCAAGGCCTCTCTATCAGGTCACTTCACGTGTGGTTTCTAGCGTGGTAGCTGCAAGGCAGGCAGACTCCTTCCACGGCAACTGGCTTCCCTACAGCAAGCATCTGAAGAGATCTAGCAGAAGCTGTAAGGCTTCTCGTGACTTAGCCTTGGAAGTCCCAGAACGTAAGTCACAAAGGTGAGCCCGAAAGCAACAGGTGGGACACGGATGTCGCCTCTTGATGGGAGGGATAGCGAAGAAATTTTGACTGCCTTCAGTCTACCACATGATCATACGTACAGATGCTTAATTACGCACCCTAGAGGTAACTTCTGTTGACACACAGGCGTGCATTTGAGCATGTGTATTCTCTGAAAACATGGTACTATTATTCTCACATGTAGGAGTCTACGCATTGGGGTCTGGGCTAGCTTTTGTTTTTGTTTTGTGGGGATGTGGTGAGCTGCGGGGGCGGGGGGCACGTGTCACACATTCTGTACTTCTGCTGTGGGCTTTTGCTTCTCTCAAACCCCTGCTTCTCTCAAAGCCCTGCTTCAACAATATTGTCCTCTCTGGAGTTTTATCTATGGCTGAGCACCAAAAAAAAAAAAAAAAAAAATCTGCGATGAATGTTCTGAGTGTTCTTCATGGTACACTGAGTATCTCGGAGAGTTATAATCACACTTACCATTATGGTGCTTTGTCTTCCTGGCTGCCCCATGAGGTCAGTACAGTGGAACTGCATGGTGTCTGATGTTATCAACCGACAATACGTCGAGCCTCACTTTGCTGATGAGTTCAGAGAAGTTAAGTAACTCACTGAGGTCTCATAACTACTACCTGGCAAAGCCCAGCTTCAAACTCTAGTCAGCCTGATCCCCAAACCAATGCTCCAAACCCCTTCCATTCATCCTAACTGTATAAAAGGAAACGCTAAAGGTCAGAGAGTCATCTGGTGTGATTCACTTCCCAGAGTGGGTGCAGCAGGCACAGAAACGTGACCATCTGATTCCTGTATTCTAGAGTGTTAACCTCTCATGAGATGTGTTTTGCGTTGCCTATAGCAACAGTCTATTGCTGCTTCCACTTGTGGGAACTACTTCCACAGGCTTAGTATCTTGACTTATCTAAGTGCTGTGGGCACATTGCTGAGTGGAAAGAGGGCTGGAAAAAACCCAGTGGATTGTCTAGCAAGCTAAAAGATAAACTGAGAACAACTGGATCCTAAATTTGGAGTGGAACATATATAGAAGAGGAAATTGTTAAATTAAGCCGAGACACCAACACGATTTCAAGCCATCATGACAGGGTGGTGGTTTTCTTTTGTTTGTTTGGGGGTTTGGGGGTACCGATTGCTACATCCCTCCCATGAAAGCTATGAGAGAGCAATGGATGCAGCGTTGGGCTGATTCTGAAACAGGTCCCCTTTATCTTTTGTCACCTGCTTCTTCGTGGTGCTTTGACTCGATTCTACATTCATGTGCCGCTAGGTCCACTCGGACAATAGCCAGACCGATCATATCTCTCCTGACCAGTCGAGCCATTAAGGTCACGGTGCGTTCCGTCCCTTTGTTGGCAACTGTGCCATGTTCAGGCCAGAGAACCTCTGCTTTGTGCCGCGTGGACTTCCCCAGCTGTGTTTCATTGCCCTTGCTCCTTCTGTCTGTCTGCACTCTTGCTTCAGTCCAGGCAGGGCTGGAATAAAGATCTCAGTATGGCCACAGTCTATAAAGTCATGAACTCAGCCAGGCCGTACTATGAAACGCTTTCCACAGACATGTCTGCTGCCTTTGGATGTCTATACACGGCCTTGGCCTGTGAATGTCTGCCATTGCCAAGATGGAATGAGTTTGGGTAGATACCTGGGGCTTTAGGAGAGAAAAGAAAAACTTGAGTCCAGAATGCTGCCTGGAAGCCTCTCCTCCATTATTCATCAATCCTTTTACCTATAGCTTGTTCATTTGTTACTGCATTCATTCAAGAAGCATTTCTTGAGACCCTCTTCTGTGCCAGGGACTAGCCGAATGGTCGATACTGGGCTAGCCGATAGTCGGACTAGCCAATACTGGGCATGCAAGTTCAAATGCAAGAGTGTGGTGCCTCCACATTCCGTGAGCTCTGCGTGTAGCAGCGAGGCTTCTGTAGTCCTGATTTTACATGTTCTATATTCCTCACTCTCTTTCTCTCCTAGTCTCCTCCTGCTGCCCATGTTTACAGGAGTTACCTCCGTCCGGTTCTGCCATTAAATTATGACGTTCATCCAAAATTTCCATGACTGTTCTCACAAGATTTTCTTATTATTTCAAATCAAGTTGCTCCTTATTTCTATTATCCTTTGCTTTAATTATGATGCCCATTTATTCTTTGTATCTTTTTCATCATTTTCAGGATCTCTATTTTCTATTCGTCTCCAGATTTTTTTCTTATTTCCAGTAGTCAAGCTCTCTTCTTCCCCTTTGTTGTGTCTGCCAACTATCCCTTAAGGTAGTTCATTTCCTTGTGTAGCTAGTCATTTATTTTTATAGTGAGTCTATCTTTAGCTTTTGTTTCCTTCTGTGGAGGTCCTTGCAGTCTTCAGAGTGATTCCACACTTCCTTTTGCCAAGCCTGTAGGGTCTTCCAGGCCCTGGACCAATTAAAAAAAATTTTTTTAATGTTTATTTATTTTTGAGAGAGAGAGAGAGAGAGCGCACACTCAAGTGGGGGAGGGGCAGAGAGACAAAGACATAGAATCTGAAGCAGGCTCCAGACTCTGAGCTGTTGCCACAGAGCCTAATGCGGAGCTCCAACCCACGAACCGTGAGATCATGACCTGAGCCAAAGTTAGATGCTTAATCAACTGAGCTACCCAAGTGCCCCCCTTTATTGCTTTAATGAACCAGTGTGATTGTGTAGTCTTGATGGTAAAGATTTCTGAGGCTTCAAGCTCCATGCAGGTGCCTCAGTTTGAGCTCCCACTTTGCAGGGGACTGCAGCCACAGCTTCTGCGTGTGGGAGGGTGTTAGGGCCTCCATCCCAGTCCCCATGGGCCTATGTCTGGGCTGAAGCTTCTGGGGGGTTCCATAGCACCAGCATAAATTTGCTGCTCTGGCTTTTCTTTCCCTCTTCTAATCAGGAATTTGGGGGTTTCTCAAATTTTCAAGCCAAGCTTTGTGTTGTTTTCTCAAAAAAAAACCAGGGTATGGGGTGCCTGGGTGGCTCAGTCGCTTGAGCATCCAACTTTGGCTCAGGTCATGATCTCATGGTCCATGAGTTTGAGCCCTGCATCGGGCTCTGTGCTGACAGCTCAGAGCCTAGAGCCTGCTTCCAATTCTGTGTCTTCCTCTCTCTCTCTGCACTCACGGTCTGTCTCTTTGTCTCTCTGTCTCTC